TTCTTGTCATTGGGTTCGTACTCCAGGATGCTCATCTCACGGAGGTAGTTTGACACGTCGGTCGCCGTAGTTCTGGTGCGGGTGGACCGGCGGTCACGGACAAACGCTTGGACCATCTCAGCGACACGCTTGGTACGCGGCACTGTTGTTATGTGTGCGTAATGGTTTGCCGGTGGTGCTAATGCGGTAACAGTCTGGCTTTGTTGGTACTCCCGCCAAACGTCCTGGACAACGTGCATGCTGCGGCCGAGTGCCTCAGCGACTGTCTTGGACGCGGCGGCTACACCCTGACTGCGAAACCAAGCGTGCAAGCGAAGGAAGTCGAGCCGTTCCTCTCTCGTGACTTTGCGACGTCGATTATCCTTGATAAAGGCAAAGCAAGCTTCAAGTCGTAGATCCATTTGATTTATGGTAGATACGGTGATATGATGACCAAGTAGCTATTTTTATCAGTCACAAGAGGAAATAGAGTTGCACAGTACCTCAAAGCACCAGAATAGAATACCTCTATAACCTTATATCCAAAATGATTTCAGCATAAATTTATGCGGGTTATGTACTCCTCGGGTGAAAATTGACACGCATTCTTCCAGAAAGCGAAGTGTATTTCAAAAGGTATTTAATTTGACGGGATTCAATTGTTACAGTAACGATGGCGTTGGAATTGCCGATTTCACCTATTTTTAGAGAATTTCATTTGAATTGCCTGAGATGTGACAAAATAGGCGTTGGTTGCTGTCGAGTACTGTTAACCTAGCAGTATTTTACATGGGCGATTCGATATTTGGCCTTAGGGGTTGTGTCTTGATTTTTGTATGTGACGTTTATCCGTAAATATTATCCGGAGGCAGTTGGAATCGGCATTTAACGCATTTAGTTTTTGGGTTTAACTACATTAATTGTACGTTAAATAGTAAAACCTCCACGCTTCGATTTGGCCAGTTGGAAGTTTTTAGATCGGCTACTGGTATACTACTAACGCTAACGTTACTAACAGTAAACTTTTTTGAACACCAGAGCCGAACGAACGAGGTGGGCGTTGAGTTGTCGAGTAGATAAACCGGTATGCGGGTGTTGGGGAGTTTATGCTAAGGCTTACTACCCATGGCCTGTGCAAAGCCCACGGCGGCGGTGCCCGATGCAAACAATCCGGATGCGAGAAGAGCAGCCAAGGGGGTGGGTTTTGCCGAGCCCATGGCGGGGGTAAGCGATGCTTGGAGCCCGGATGCACAAAGGGGGCCAAGGGGGGGGACCGATATGCAGCATAAAGATTGAGAGGCGTGCACTACCGGTAGGTACTCCAGAAGAGCCGCAATAACAAACACAGCGGTAGTTCGGTAAATATAAATTTTTCCTATAGCAAAAGCATCTTCCCAACAAGATATTCACCATGGGAGTTTCATGGAAATTGTATTAAAAATTCGTGTGGATCCTTGGTGCAAAATCACTCTGTATGAATCATTTTATATCTCCATCGGCATTACATGTTATGGGCTTGGAACAAAAGTGTGAATTGCCACCGATTTTGATTGTGGAGAATTATACGTAAGGGTGGGGAGCCTTCGATGGAGGGGCTCCTGTATTCCAAATTGCAATTATAATAGTGTTCCTTTTTGAGGGCATTTAATGCATTTCGTTGGACTTCAAATCATGTCGAAATTCGTATTGGTGTTAATGGAAAATGAAATAACGTTTAAAAGAGTGCAAATATGCACAGTTCATATTTTACTCTCGTACTTCCTCTCAAATGCAAATGAAGTTGCTGGTATTTGGTTGAAGATTTCAGAGTGACTGTTTTCTACCATTCCTGGATCGTGGCACGGAACCAAGTTGTCACGAACTGCGCCCAGACGTATAGTACGGACTTTTATCCTGAATTTGTGAATGGGATTTCTCACAAAACGATACATCGCAAATCAGCATTGAAGTAAACAGTCAAGAGAAAAGACACATCGTATCCTAGGGCGATTGTACCATATTCGAGGGCTTTGTATGACTTCCAGAGCAGTTCGGCCTCGTGGCATACACCCCAACCACCAATATACACGAGTTACTACACCATTTTTCCTTTAAGTTCAGATTGTTTCCGGTATATTTCGTCCGACGCACAACTAATTCACGCCTTGTCCATTATATTCGCCGAGCATTCGATATATTTCGTCCAGACCATACATGGCTGCAGTATATTTCGACTAATGTCCGGTATATGTCACCCAACAGCCTGTATATTTCACACTTGTTCATATATTTCAAATGATGTTCCATCTATTTCGTTTTTAGATGCAAGTCAAGTAAATCGCAGGCGGTGGATATCGTTTGAACTTGTCTAAATTTCTCATAGATACGAGTCGAGATGAATCATTTACCACGTTACACCTTGCAGCTCGAGTTGTTTTACGGTCTAGCCGAAAACTTGGGTGCCGTGGAAGTTAGCGCCTGATGAAACAGTGCGTTGATTTACTTGATTTGCATCTAAATCGAAATAGATGGAACATCATTTGAAATATATTGAACTTGGTGTGAAATATACCGGCGGTGGGGAGACATATACCAGATGTTAGTCGAAATATACTGCAACGATGTAAAGTCTGGACGAAATATATAGAATGTTCGCCGAACATAACTCACACGGCGAAAATCAGTTGTGCGTTGGACGAAATATACCGGAAAACAATTTGCTTTATAGGAAAAATGGGTTAAGTAATTACTACCAAATATTTTGGGAATTCCATCACACATACATGTATTGGTTGGTGTATTGGTGGGGACTGCACTAATTTTCAATCCACATTAATTCTCAATCCGCACTGATTACGGTCGATGGTGTACCAACACGTACTGTACTTTTACCTCGAGCTTAAAACTACGTACTATTACAGTACAGTGTACTAGTAGTTTGTGAATTGACATGTACAGTACAGAGACAACACGCGTCCTAGGGTTGCCCTCTAGAAGCATGCTCCCATTAAGTTAATATCCAATGGTTCGTTGGAAATACACTGTGACGCCTCAGCATTGGGTACACCCCCTGGGTGCGCAGAAATTCAATAGGGAGGTCGTATAAGGACTACAGTACTACAATAGTACCCGTATGTTTGGGCGAAACGTCTCCCAATATACGGGCGTCTTACTACATCCCACTCGATGTACTGGGCTAAGTTTCAAGGCGAACAGAGTAATACTCGGTGAGGAGAAGAGTGCCCCATTTGCGTAATATCCACCCTCTTGGACATTTGGCTTATTCCAACTATATGAAGAAATTTTTAAAGCCATAACCTTGGCCGAAGTTCCATTTTTTCGCAGTTCAAATGCATTGTGTATTCGATACGAATTTCCAGACCCCGAATCGACTCACGAATCGACGCTACTAGTATTGGCTAATCCATGTTTCAGTGGTCTTGCAGAAAGGACAGTATAGTCAACTCCGGCGTGATTTTAATATTGATTCGACAAACCAGGCGATTTTTGGAAGTATATAGCAAATTCACAATACTTCAAGGGTCTAAGTTGCACTAGTACTATAAGAAACGTTACGTGGCTTACCAGCGAATAGTATTGGCTGGTTTCGGTCAGGTGTGAAATTTGGGAGACGGTTCGCCCAAACGTACGGATATTCATTCACACTACGACTGTCATGGAGGAAATTTACCCCCTTCCAGTACAATCACCGACTAAAATGAGCCCGGACACATTCTAGTCACGCCAATTTCAACATTTCATTTTTCGATAAACGATATCCCCCACAATAGCAATCTCCACAATGAAGTTTGGTGCGTTTGTCCTTGCCTCTGCTGCCGCGGCCAGACAGTCGGTCATGTCTTTGTCATCGACGGAAAAGGCCATCTTGGGTGTCGATTTGGCCGAGTGGGAGAACGAATTCGGCTCGTTCGCCACTGAACACGGCCTCCTCCCCCGCGCCCCCGCCACGGAAAGCGCCCGCACGGAAGAAGCCATCCTCGACGACAAGTTGCAGCGCTTGCTGGACACCAAGTTCGAGGCGGAGCTGGCGCAGGAACAAAACCCCGACGCCGTCTTCAGCTGGAAGAACCCTTTCGCCCTCCTCAACGAAGCCGAGTTCAAACGCCACGTGGCCATTTCGTTTGAACGGGATGGTCAGCAATTCCTCAATGGCACCAACGAAGTCGAAGTCGCCCCCCCGGCGTCCCATAGGGAAGCTGCCGTTGACTGGTCGACCCGGTGCAACCCGCCCGTGCGCGATCAGGGCGAGTGCCTGTCGTGCTGGGCACATGCAGCGGTGGGGGTTGCGGAGGCGGCCCACTGCATCGCCACGGGGAACCTCTTGAGTTTGTCTGTCCAGCAAGTCACGAGCTGCTCGACCAAGGGGGGCAGCGCCGGCTGCAACACCGGGTTTCCTTCGTACGCCATCGACTACGCGGCCGAAGGACTGTGTCTGGACAGCGCGTGGCCGTACCGAGGCCAGACTGGCACGTGCAACAACCAATGCTCCAAGCAGCGCTTGGCCATCGGCACTAGCGCCCGCACGTCGGGTGAAAGCGGACTCTCGAACGCACTCTACAACCAGCCGGTGGTCGTGGCCGTGGCGTCGGCCAACAACGTGTGGAAGAACTATGTGCGCGGGGTGGTCTCGGCTTGTCCGGCCGCGCGCTCGGACCACGCCGCCATCGCCGTCGGATATGACGGCCAGTCGTACAAGATCAAGAACTCGTGGGGCACGCGATGGGGGGATGGTGGGTACATCTACCTGCGCGCCAACGCCGGCGGCAGGGGCACGTGCAACGTCGCGGAATACGTGTTCTTTCCCAAACTCGGCGCGTCCCCCTACCAGCCCAAGCCCGGCTGCGGCAACTGCAACGCGTGCTACTACCCCGGCGACAACTCGTGCTTGTCGGACTTTAACAAGGCCGACTGCGAGTACTACAGCGCCATGCACGGCACCAAGTGGTGCGCCAACTAGGCTTTGTCGCGACGATGTTTGTAGTTCTGTACGGTACCGGTTGTAGTACTAGTACATTAGTGAAGAGAAGGATTTGTTCATTTTGCAGTTGTTTCCAATATGGCTCACAGTGTCGTTAGAGTCGACACCGAGGAAGGAGGGTATCGCCGCTGGAATCACCGATGGACACCGCACGATATTAACAAGTTATACAACTGTGTTATGTCGTTCGAACCGACGGGCTTGAAGAAAGGAGCGGCGCCAGGACTCGTTTTCCGAATAGCCACCTTGACGACCTGTACCCATTGTATTGTTAGTTGGGCCATAACCGTAAATCTGTTCTCAAATGCGCAATGGAACTAAACGATATGTAGCGTTGCGATGGGGGTCGACTGCTTCTGCTGTTGCTCTTGGTCGTGGGGGGCCATGTTCACCGTGCATGTCGTCCACCGCTCGAAGTCTTTCTAGTCGCCGCCTCTCAGGAACTCGCAGTTGACGCCCACGACGGTGGCTCCGGTGTAGCCAGGGGTCAAAATAAGGGTGAATATGATCACTTTGCGGACACCGTACCTTATGAAAAAATGAAATTTGGACGGCCTCCATGATTGCGTAAACAAGACAAGGCGTTCGTCCAGAACTTGCTCCAGGGTTTGAAACTCGGAAAGGCATGCGATGGGCACGTCTGTCCACCTACAGTACCAGTAAAAGCAACGAGACTTCCCTTGGATCTCTTGACGAACTTGTGCGTGGGGGAGAATAATATCGTCGACCAACACGGCCGCTGGGGTGACAGAATTGCCCGATAACTCCAAACTGACCAATCAGAACTCCCCATTTCGTGGCGGCAAAACCTGTGCCAATTAATACGAGGTTATCCGCCTTTCAACGAAATGGCAATCAAGCAGCGAAGCAGATACACTAGGATGAGCTGGACATTGCCGTCAAGGAAGTGATCGATGGTAACACAGGAAGGGTCGTTGCCCCAACGTCGAAGATCCCGTACATGACGCTTACGAAGTGTGTGCGCGAGACAATGGCGGGAACTCTGTCAAGTTGTCGCAGCTTGCGTCTCCGGGCAAGATGTCAACACCAACACAATTGGGGGACCAGTGGATTCCCGGGTAAAGCTTAGTAGTGTTATTGAGCAGTTGGAGGCAAAACTACAGTAGTACTTAGCCAGTCACTAACTGACTGATCTGATCCTTTACTAATTTAAACTCTATTTTGTTCAACCAATCACCTAAGACAAGACCTGAACTTTCTCGGTCCTTACCCTTTACGCTCGCACCACACACCGCACCGCCCATGGTCGTCCACTGCGGACATGGCCAGGCTGCCCGAATGGCTCTAGCCAGGCGCGTCGAATGAGTGCTAGGCCTACGGGTATGTTCATCATGGCAACGCAACACAAGCACGCCTCGACGCGGACCGAAGCCACGGCTCCCTCAATCCTGCGAAGATGACCTAGTGGCCTGGATTGGAGCAATGCAGCTGGATGGTCATTCAACTGACTGTTACACGATCATGGTGAAGGCAAACCAGATTGATCGTCGAGTTCTGCCGACTGGCTCACTGTCACAAGGCTGGTACACATGGTTTATAGGGCGACATCAACAGCTCACCAAACGCGTTGCCCAAGTCATTCATTTCTCACACCCGCAACTCCGTAAACGGGTCCAGTGTCCAAGCACTGTATGATTCGTTGAATGATATTAACCGTGACCATCAGCTTACTAGCGACCGCGTCTTCAACTTGGACGAGACGCCCTTTGCTTCGAGAAGGAAGTCAAAAGATATCGTCGCACTCAAGGCGTCGCGCAACGTGGGGGACAAAACCATCGACAAAACCATCGCTTCAAATTTTCATCTGTCCATTGTTGCCTATGGAAGTGCGTATAGCACTGCGGGAGGAAGCGTGTGTAGTTGAGGGCAAAATGCACAATGAATTAACTGAAGATCTACAAAGATCTCCTTAATTCTCATCACTATGAAATCTTCTTAGTCTACTTCACTACTTCTACACTAATATGCACTTTTGTATACGCGGGTGCGATTGAGACATTCGGGAACTTCACTAGGCTAGCGATTCTAAGCCATACATGCCCTTGAGACACATTCCTAGGCAAGCATTAGCTAGGGCGCGTCGTGATCCAGGTACTTAGGAACTGGGTGCGGGCAAGGTGGTGGCAAGCCGTTACCCCCACCTGCCTCATCGCTACATTCTCCCCCTGACGTCTTGCTACACCTTGAAACGCCTTGACTCCAAGTCTTGGACGAGTTGCTTGAAGAGCACAACATGCTTGATGTCCTTGATCAGTTCCCACGTGGCTTCGCTTTCGGGCTGTCCATGCCACTTGACCAAGTACTCCAATTTGCGATTGAACTGGCGCTTCTTGAGCAGTTTCTCGACAATGTACATTTCTTCGCCGGTGGATTCGTCTAGAATAACAGGAGTAGCTTTCGGGATAGGCCGGGAGGCAAACTTGGCTTCGTTGGGGTGATAGTGCTTAAGTCGATCGACGTTGAACACGTCATGCACACGTGACTCGAGCGAGGCAACTTTAGGTGCATGGCGTTGTCATTAATGGCTTGGACAATCTCAAAGGGACCGATGAAACGTGGAACCAACTTGGGACGCTTGGACTTGTCGAGCATCTGGGCATGCTTTCAAGGCAGGTTGCGAGTCGCTAGCAGTACTTGTTCGCCTTCCTTGAAGGTCACGTTCGAGCGGCGCTTGTCATAATACGCTTTCTGACGCTGCTGGGCCTACATCAAATTCTCGTGCGCCATCCGAATGACTTCTTTGCGATGTTCTGCAAAATTCTTGGCAAAGTCATTTTTGGGCAAGGAGCTGCTCACGGCAGGGTTGCGCAACTTGCGGCCTGTGTCGACTTCGAACGGTGTTAAGCCGGTTTGGACTAAGCCTTGGTGGGCATACTCGATCGTTGGCAAATGGTCGACCCAGTCTTGTCCTAGATACGACACTTGGCATCTGAGCGCGTCTTCGAGAGTTCGATTCTGGCGCTCAGGCGCTCCATCGGCTTGTGCTCTGCCGGCGGTGGTCATGGCTTGGCGAATATCCATAATCTCCATGAGGGACTTCCAAAACGTGCTTGTAAATTTGGGGTCACGGTCGCTGATGATCATTGCTGGTAGTCCATGGTGACGGACAACATGTTCGAAGAATTCTTTCGCCGTTTGGGGTGCATCGACATCTGATCTCGTCGGAATGTACTTTGGTCGCTTGGATAGCTTGTCTACGACTACCAAAATAGCATCATAGCCTTTTGACACGGGCAAACCAGTGATCCAATCCGCTGAAACAGTTTGCCAACACTCGTCCGGCGCGGGAATGGGAATCATCCTCCCATTTGCACGCAGACTGCTCGTCTTGTATCGACTGCATGTTTCGCAAGTCGCGACGTATAACTTCACGTCTTCGGCAAGAGTGTTCCAGTAATACCACTGCGCTACACTTAACATTGTGCGTCGAGTTCCAGGGTGTGCGGCAGTGCTTGAATCGTGCGCGTGAGATAAAATCTCGGCGCGTAACAAGTCATCGCTGGGGACACA